TTCACCCATTCACGCACACACTCATACACTGATGGTGGCAAGCTACATTGTAGCCACAGCTGCCCTGGCGCTCACTGACAGAAGCGGGGCTGCCGTACACTGGCGCCACCGGGCCCTCTGACCACCATCAGTAGACAATTCAGGTGAAGTGTCTTGCCCAAGGACACAAAGACACTGGAGTCGGGGGCAAACTCCTACATCCAACGCCACTGTAGAGCGATGGATGTGCACAAAACAGACAGTTTCTTTGAGGGATTATGTCTATTGAATACCAACAATAAGTACAATCTCCCCTGGACCTTCTACTAGACAGAGTATATACTGTATATCTACCAGCTTTATATTTTGCTTTAAATTCTCTCCACAGTAGCATTAGACGCCTAATATAATGTCACAGCCTTAGAAAAGCATCAACTTTAAAATATATCTGATTTAAATCCACGTGCAGCTGTTTGTGGTTTGCAATGACCTTTGCTTCAAACTCCAGGCATATTGGGTAAAATAATGCCACATCTTTGTGCTCTTTGATATTCAGACCAGGCAAAAACAGAGCTTTAGTTGAACTAAAAGAGAGCCTTTTGTTGCCAAAACTCAGAGTACACCTAAAGCTGTGTCCTCCATTTTAAACAGTCAGTAGATGTTTCAAGATAATATTTTCAAAGAAAAAAAGGGCATGTCTCTACAAGTTTCCAGAATTTGTTTATCTGACTGTTTCAGATATAGCTGATCCATGTCCCCGCCCATTTGTGACTGATGCTTGTACTTAAAAGAAAAGTAACAGGAGGCTGTTTAGTTTGATGCTGTTTTTCTTCTTTTTGCTTCTCTGCGAGCAGCCGTGATAATGGAGGTCTGTGCATTCATGTAGCCACTAAATTAAGCACCATGGTCTAAAATTTCAGCAAGTGCATGTTCAATACCCCACAGTGAGAAAACATTGTGTCTAATTCTTAGAAGAGGATGCTAAATTCTTGCTGCTGTTACCCAAAGGCTTCAGGGTGTATAGCAGAGAAGACATCTCTTTGTCCTAAGCTCCTCCTTTAGATAAAATGGTCTGTCTCAGCTGTAGCTGCAGACAGTTGACAAATGCGATTTAGAGAATAACGCAAGGAAGCAAATGCCTTGAGGCATTAATGGAACTTGGCACATGTCTCTTTAAAAAAAGTAGCTAATTAAAATAAATCTTTTTATTTTAATCAGTTTGTTGCATTTTTTCCTACATTCTTGGAGTCAGTGTGTTTAATGATCTGAAAAATAAACATTTGCTCTTCTGTCAAAGGTTTTATATGGATTCTATTACACCTAAACTTAGATTTGTAAAGGGGAGGAAGTCTTGTCTGAAGGCAGCCACAGTTGAGTAGTCACGGTCCATACTGTTAATAATTTTCATTATGCCGATTTTTCCAGTCACTAACTGTGAAAAAAGGACACATTGTGTTCTGTAGATATGAATTTTGAATGGCCTTTTGTCTTAAGATTTTTCCAAAGAGCTTAGTAAATGTAGGGGGGGAAAATTCCCATGATTCCTAAAGAAGACGGTATTTCACGTTTTTGCTGGAATGGAAAACTTAGTCAACCTTCTGATAGAGGTGGTTTCATATGGAATCTGAATGGAGACGCAAACCAGGCAGAACATAGAGTTGATAAAATAGCTATATTTTAAAAACATGACACCAAGGATGCTGAATTATCACACATCTTTCTATCAGGTTTCCATATCTGCTTATTTTTGTTTAAGGCCAGGCTTGTCCCTGTCTTCATTGGTCAAAGATTGAAATGTTGAACTTTTATTATTATACCACCCCGTATATTCTATTGGGATGTTATATGATAGACTAACACAAAGTAATACAGTGCGGGGATGTAAGTAAACAATGGACTTTTTTCAAATATCTTAAAAAGAATATACTGAGACTGTGACCTCTTGTGAAATGACCACGTCACAATCCTAATCAGCAAACTCCCATCCACCTCAGCAGTGCTGGAAACAGTCAAGCAAATCCTTTAGAGCAAGCTTTATTGACACCACATAATGTTAAAAAGGACTCACGGTGTTAAAAAATTGATTGGAAATGGTATTTATGGATTCAGTTTAAATTGTCTTCATTAAAGTACGTTGTTTATTCCTGTTTTTAATGTTTTAAATTTTACTGTCAAGAGAAGAAACTAATATCTTGAGTTTTGGATTTGGCTGTCTAAATGTTTTATTAACTGCTGTTTTTATTGACCCCGCCTAAAGCTCCTGATGAAAGTGTTTTTTTTTTTACTTAGCAGAAAAGCTAGACTGGTTCCTTGTATAGAAAACTCTCCTTGCAGCAGGATATTACCATCACCCGAAGGTGATGGTGCTCAGAAGTAGTAGAGATTGATTTTGCCAAAAGCTAAAATTGCAATGACTGGTGCGGCTGCTACAATAATCCAGATGCTGCGTCGGTCTGTTGTGGTGAAGATTGAGGTGAGCCAAAGAGCAAAGATCTTGATATACTCATTAGTCTATGTTACTCCCACCTATGGTAATACACATTTGGATTATGACTGAAAGAAAAAGATCCCAGGGTGGTCAGGCACTCTCTCAGGGATAGGTTGAGGAGCTTGGCCAAACCTGAAAAGGTTTGGAGTAAAGCCGTTTCTCCTCAGGAGATGTTACAGGCATGTCCCACTTGGAGGAGGCCCAGGGGAGAAACCAAGACATGCTGGAGAGACTATGTCTCCCGGCTGGCCCCAAATCACCTTGAGCTTCCACCAGAGGAGCTAGAGGAGGTGTTTCAGATAGAGGAAAGTTTTGGAGTCTCTGCTGACACTGCTGGCCCTGCAACCTGATCTCAGATAAGTGGAAAACAATGACAACGGGATGATTATTATTTTTTTTATTATGTTGTGATTGCGATACAAGCATGCAGATGTCCAGGGTTTTATTGCCTTCATGACCTTGAACGCTTTTTTTCCCCTTTCTTTTAACCATTTTCAGGTAATTGACCCTTAGAGAGTCAGTGCTAGATAAAAATTCGGTATCTTACACTAACACATCCTGAAGCCCATTCCTTTAGTTTAATAGTGGAAAATAGTTTCCTGTTCCCAAGGTGTTTTATCTTGCAACCCATAACCTTCTCTGGCTTCCATCTTCACTTTGAGTCTGAATAAAGCTGTAAAGTGAGCAGCAGTCTACAGGTTTGCTCTGTGGTGCTGCCTTACCTTTATTAAACTAAACTGTGTAAAATAGAGGCTAATCAAGATGGCTAAGTAGCAAGATACTGATTGAAAAGGGGGAAATGTAGGACTATTTAATTAATAAACTACTCTGCATTTTCCTTATATTTCTTAACTATACTTTACTTTTTTCTTTTAACTACAATCTCAATATTACGAGGTCTTACTACACTTCCAAGAGACCATACAATGTAGTGTTTATATTATTTATAGGAGACCAATCTATTCTACTTGTTTTGCTTCTGTGGAAAATTGCTCCAGGGGGTATAATTAATATGTTTGGTCTCTTTTCCTGGCATTAATTCCTTTTTAGAAAAAAGAAAAAAAAAACACAGTGTTTTTAGTCAAGTAACATTATTCCCTTTCAAGCTGTTAATAAAACCACACTGATCATATCACTAAATTACCCGAAGAGATATGTTAAAAATGGAAAAAAATATTGTTACAGTTTCGAAGTCAAAGGGAAGAAGGTCAAGGAAAATATATTTTAACTTTTGGATTAGTGGAAATTCTCTTACTATTTATTCATTTAACATTTTTACTTCTAAATCTGAACATGAAAGTGTACCTTTATATTTGTTTCTTAATTGGAGGGGAAAAAAAACTTTTTCAACTGTTCTATATTTAAGATTTTTCAATTGTTCCTATATTTAAATATATATAATATATATAAATATAGGTAAATATATATATAAATATATATATATATATATATATATATATATATATATATATATATATATATATATATATATATATATATATATATATATATATATATATATATTTATAGTAAATCTCCTTATGTTAACTCATTCTATAACTCAACCCATAACCTCAAATAAAAAAGCTCATTTAAACTTATTTAACCCCAATACTATCGATAATCATCAATGAATTAAGCAGCTAAGGCTTTCCTCAAACATTTCCTACTTAAGTATTTGGCTGAAGGCTTTTTTTTCCAGGCTCATCATTTTAAGACAGGGGTCTGTTTCAGTGATATGTATCAATACGTTTGGTTTTTACATTGGCCTTAAGCTAATTGTAACCCTTACCAATTACCATGACTATATCCTTAAACACAACTATATTAAGAAGTCATTTAACTTGAAATGGTTTATTAGCCTATGCACAGTTATAAACCAGAAGAGAACTGCACATTTCTCTCTCTGCACAAGAAGCGTTATGCCTGCACTGGGCTGCAGTCTATGTCAGCAGTAACTTTGCAAGAGGTGGGGAAAATCCTGGACAGTTAAGCACAAATGATCATACCCCCAATTTTAACCCTGTGAAGTTTGTTTCTGATTGGAAAGTATGTTGACATTATTAAAAGGGAAAATGAACAAACCTCCATAGTGATTAAACAATCCCTTATTTCTATTTGTACAACATTTTACATCTGCGAGTAATCAAGTGGCACAGTTCTTGAACTGCTACTTAAAACAACCATCAGTCAGTCTATAAGGATGCATGCTATTCATGTCTGATTTAGTCTTCTTTAACAGCCAAAGAGTTAATTTCCCTCCTTGTTTCAGACAACCTCCGTAATACAGCTGTACTATAATTCAATAAAAAGAAAAAAAAAAAAAATATATATATATATATATATATATATTAGGGGTGGGACGCGATTAAAATTTTTAATCGCGATTAATCGCATGGCTGTGAAATTAATTAATCGAATTAATCGCATTTTAATCGCATACTTGGAAACAGCAGGAAGTAACTTTTTCCACATGGATTTTGAATGACAACACATAAGCTTAATAAACAAAATATTGTTTGTTTATTTTCTTTAAAGAAATATCAACATGCCAGTGCAAATTTTAAAGTTCAACATATTTAGGAACGCTAAACTCAGAATTCAGGTAGCTCTACAGGTATAGGTAGTGCTTAATACTGCTTTTTAAATGCAAAAATGCAATACTCTCAAGTACATTCAGAACAAAAAGCCTCTGAGGCTTTAACACAATTCGTGGATTTATCAACAGTTCAACTGTTTACAAAAAATAAGTCAGAAATAAAATGAAATTCAGTCCAACTCTTTGTAACATTGGCCATTCAGACAGTTCAGTTCAACATAAAGTGACAGTGATTGACCTCCATTTTTTCCCATTTGAAACACAACTGGCCAACTGGCCTCAGGATACACATTTAACTTATTACTTCCTCTCTTTCAGCCAGTTGCTGAGACATACTAGCCTGTTCACATTTTCGGAGCTCAGGGCTGCCCTCTTCTTTTGAACTATATTACCTGCCAGGGAGAATAATCTTTCGCAGGGTACCGAAGTGGCAGGGCTGCCTAGATACTTGCGGGCCAGGACAGAGAGCTGTGGATGGGCTCTCTCATGAGTGGACCACCACTGCAGTGGGCAGTCTCTCTCACTGATGGTAGGCTCTGCCTTGTAGCGGGCCACGGCTCCTTTGGGCCCATCTTCATCCTCTGATTCAGAGTCGGAATTATACAGCAGGAGGCTCCTCTTCCATGCTGGCTCCTCTGTGCATTCCGGAGTGGCTCTGCCTGGTTGTTGTTGCACCAGTGCCTCAATGCTGGTCCACACCTCTCCTCGCTCTCCTCTTGGTAGACACTTTAGGTCCTTAAGATCAGAATAAGAATCAGAATCAGGTTTGTGGTCACATTAATCAGAGATTTACAGAGTACAAGCTGGATGAAATTCATTAGTATACATGGTTTCCATCATCCAGAATCTCCTCTACTGGTTGTGCCTATGGTCAAGTCTAAACTGTCCAAATTAGAACTGCCCTAACAGCATCTTGTTTTAAAAAGAAATTAAAAATAGCATTATTCTCATCTGCCTTTGGTAATAGTTGGTTAATTATCTTCAATCCATAAAACAACATGGATTATTTTTTTCTGTTTTCATTTTTTTTACTCTTTAGCACATTGAATGACAATTATGTGATAATGTGCTATACAAGTCATGTTGATGTTGTTATTCCATAAGAGAGGGGAGGGGGCCGAGGAAATAAAAGAGTCATAAGCAATAAAAGAGAAAAATAAAGAAGACCATTACACACCTTAAAGCGAGGGTCGAGTGCTGTAGCCACTTGTAGAAATCTGTGATTTAGGGCATCCTCACGCTGAGACAGGTCCTTTTCAAAAGCAGCCTTGAACTTCACCACATAGGCTGGGTCATCATCTGAGGCCTTCATGGTGCGGGTCAGGTGGCGGAGAACAGGCAACACAACTGAGCATGACACATAATTCTCACCCCCAAGGAGCTCTGTCACGTCTCTGCAGAGGATAGTTAATCACGCAGTCAATATCATTTATATAGCAAATTTTACACTACTGTCATTCAATGTGCTAAAGAGCAGAGAAAGACAAGAAAGAATGGTATTGCAATTGTCAACTCTACAGGTAAATAAAGCATAGATTAATTTCTGCAAACTCTGTTTACATACAGCATTTTTAATTTATGCAACGTTCCTAGGTGCCAAAACGTTGATTACAGTGACACATTATTTTGCCATTTAATATTGGATTAAAAACTGTATACTGTAGTCATAGTGATATTAATATTATTCAGTACAATACATTTTGGAAAGGCAATTTAAATTATACAGGACTCTCATAGTCCAGTCATAACGTTTTTAATCCAATTAATGAACGTTGATGAGTATTTACCTGCATGGGGAAAGTAGGGTTTCGAGCCTCTGCAGTCTGTCCCATTCTGCTGCATTCAACATGGTGAGCTTGTGCTTCTGTTTGGCGAGCGTAGCCTTAACAGCATCTTGGTTTTTCAGCAGACGAGAGACCATCAACAGGGTGGAATTCCACCTAGTGGGAACGTCCTGTATCAGTGGCTCGTTGTCTTGGCCCAGTTGTGTTTGTTCGTTGTGCAGTTCCTCTGTGTTTGAGGGGCTGTGTTTAAAATGCCCAACTATCTTACGACATCTCGCCAGTGTGGCTGTGAACCCGCTGTCACTAAGACAAACTGTGATCGTCCTCTGTACCATGTGAGCAATACACGGCATGTGCTGAAATGTGAGCTGTGTCATTGCAGCGATCATGGTACGGGCACTATCTGTTCCGATTGTGGTGACTTTCTGTGTGATTTCCCAGGCCTCCGTCACAGACTCAAAATCTTCTGCCACGTTTTCAGCAAAGTGCCTCGTGGTTATCTTCTTGATGGTTAAGGCAAACGAGTGAAGGCGCCACTTGTTGTCAATAAAGTGTGCGGTCACGCCGAGGTAATTTGCGTTGCTGACTGAGGTCCAGTGATCTCCAGTAATAGCGACGCATTCGGCTTTCTTCAACAAATTCTCCTTCTCCCCCTTTTCACTGTCGTAGAGCTGCTGGACCCTCTTTGTCACCGTTTTTCTACATGGCAGCTCATACGTGGGGTCAGACAGGGCAATCTGAAGAATCTTTTCCAGCCCCTTATCTTCTACAACAGCAATGGGTCTGCAGTCGAGAGCCGCCCAGTAAGCCAGCGCGTTGGTCATTTTATCGGCCTTGGTCTTGCTTACCCTGCCCTTGAAGCCAGTCAGCTGGTGTAGTGTGGGTTGTTTCGTCTTCCTCCCAGTTGGACTAGCTTCCACGCTAGTATCTGCCAAGCTAGCTGCTACATGCTTTGCGTTCAGGTGATATTTGAGGCTTGATACGCTGCGGTGATAGGCGAATTCCTTGTTGCATAATTTACATATGACCGCGCTCTTATCGACTCTTCCCTCCTGTATTTTAAAACAAAATTTCCCCTGCAAAGGACCAACTAAAATATTTTCATCTGCTTCGTCTAATTCTTCCATGGTTGTCTCTCATAGTTTAAAGCAACTTTCTTCTCTGTTCTTCTTCTTCAGTTTCCATCCGACGGTATTCTGGCCATAGTTGTAATGCTGCCCCCACAGGTGAAATAATTACTTGGGTGAAATCCCAAACGACTTCCAGGAGACTGTGGTGTGCGATTAAAATGCGTTAATTTTTTTAACGCGTTAATATTTGTGTGATTAATTAATCGAAATTAACGCGTTAATGTCCCAGCCTTAATATATATATATATATATATATATATATATATATATATATATATATATATATATATATATATATATATATATATATATATATATATATATATATATATATATATAAATACAAATTACATTTCATTAATCATGCTGGTACCTATCTCCAGCTGTCAATGGGCAAGAGGTGAGGTACACCCTTGACAGGTCACCAGTGTATAGTAGGGCAACACAGAGACGACAGGACAAACAGTGAAACATTGGACAAACAACTGTTCATGCACACAACCTAACAGTCATGTTTTTGGACCGGGGGAGGAAGCTGGAGTGCCTGGAGAGAACCCACGCATACTCATGGAGAACAAGCAAACTCCATGCATAAAGACCCCAGGCCATGAATCGAACCTGAAACCTTCTTGCTGGAAAGCAGCAGTGCTACCCACTGCATCACTGTGCGGCCGATAAATTTTCTTTCAATATAAGATGAAATACATGACATTCAACAATTCACATTACAGTCTATTGTTACAGCTTGTCTTTTAAAACAAATACTTGTAAGATTATGTCTTGAAGGAGTTTAATAAATGTGGCAAAGATAATTATTGTAAACTTTTATTGGATTCGTCCAGCTCTACTCTACAACTTCAAAAACTTTTGACTCTTTTTTAATTTTCTTTATTTAACCAGGTAAACCCCGTTGAGATCTGGATCTTATTTTCAAGGGGGACGTGGGTTTTCAAGGACTTACTGGCTGTTGCTTAAAAACACGCCTGCCAGCATTCTATAGAAAAGTATTCTTGGATGCCTTTCCAAAATAAGAAATGAAGTCTCGGATTCTGCATTAAGTGAGCTTCTCTTGACACTCACAATGTTATAAATACATACCTGTGGATAAACATCTGGCTGTTGCAGTATGGAAGATGTCCACAAACAGCGAATACAGGATAGTGAGTCACATTTTTAGCGTTGGTGTAGCGGTTACCATTGTCTGCAGGACTTTTGTGATGCTGTGATCAAATTGTTGTTCCTACACATTTAGAGACCCCTGATGCCAGAAAACTTGTGGAACTAGCACAGTTTTTCAAAAAATGACGGGGAGCAGCACAATTTCTTGGAGCAATCAGTGGCAGTCGCACCCCTATTATAGAACCACCTGAATAGCCGTTGGACTACTTCAACAGAAATGGGTGGCATTCTATCATTTTAAAGGCATTTGTTGACACAAAAAGGTCAGTTTAAGGATGTGTGTGTTGGCTTTGCTTGGAGTATGCATGACGCTTGCACGTTATCTTGGTCAAAGCTGTGACACTAATAAGCTTCAGAAGTCAGCTCAGTGATAGAAACTAGGTCCAAGCAATTAGCAGCTATGCCTTGCCAGGAAACAGATACTCTGCTGGGATATTAAGCTGGCCTAATGAGGAAATTATGACCACTGATGTTAAAATACGAAAGCTACTCACCATGCATAGTGGATTCCACGCCAAACCCAGTTTCCACAAGCTATACCTTAAGCGCAAAGAAGGGGGCAGGAGCTTAGTTTGCATCAGAGCCACCATTGAAGATGAAACATCCAAGCTCCCAGCATACATCAGGATTATGTCATCAAGGGATGGAGCACTCAACAAATGTGTCAGACAATGGAAAATTGAAGAAAATGAACTAGCTGACGTGGCTGATGTGACCAAATCCTAACAATTCCTAGGGAAGGCTGGGCTGTAGGACAGCAGAGAAAAAATTTTCATGGCAGCAGAGAAGCAGGCTTTGAGCATGAGATGCCCTGATCTATCAAACAACACAAAATCCCAGCTGTAGCATCTGACAGCAGAGTGCCATATGCTATCAGGAAAGGAATACACGAAACTTCATAGACAAGTGGCTGGTATAGAGTATGGAAACATCTGTGCCGAATACGAACTGATTACCCCCAGGTCAAAATGGGAGCCTCCCCGAGGAGGACTAAAATCCTGTGGGACTTTCAGATACAAACGGACAAAATGGTAATGGACAAACCTAGAGAAATTGTGTCAATGATGAGCAGCAGAGGACAGCCATAATTAACATGCTACCATCTCAAATGATGTAAACATAAGAAAAGAGAACATGAGAAACTGGAGGAATTCTCTCCTCTTTTCCTACGCTGGCCATTTAGTTACCTGTGCTGGCCTATCATTAATCATATCATGTGCTGGAATTGCGATAAGGAAGTACCGGTGGATGTGCAATAAGTTTAATTTTGGCAGTCATAATGCACCATATAGCAGTCCCCCATGAGATAGTCTTGCCCCCCATCTGGCTCCCTGAACAATAAATGTCCAGCTACACCACTTAAAACAAAATAGCAACTCAAGTCACATGTCATACCTTTAATCTCAAACTTTTTATCTCGAGAATCCTGGATTATTTGTTATCAGGCCTTGTCATAAATGTCTTCCAACTTGGCCTCTGTGTCAAAATCACAACCAACTTTTATGACTATCTTTATGTAATTGACCTATCTTTGGTGGGACTCAAAACCACAGCATTTCGTTGTAAAAAAAAAAAACCTCTTCTGAAAAAAACATTTTAACTTTTAAGAAAACAGAAAATGTTATCTGTCTTCTTTTGACGAAATGCCCCGAAGAGTGGCCAGTTGCCAAGGAAATGGGAAAAGTTAAAGTGTGGAGAAGAGCTGGTGGAGAGATGTGAATGGATTTGTTTCATTTCAAGGGTCAAAGAGTGACGACTATCTCTCGAAATTTTGTTGGTCCTAAAGGCATAAGTCTAGAACACACACCCATGTGCTTTCCCGGAGAAGGTAATAAACCCACATCTCACAAAGAGTCTATGAATAAAGGAAGAAGCTGGGCTTGCTCAAGGGATTGCTGCAATACATCTCTACTAAACAGTTCAGTATAAACCAAAGGTTTGGCTGAAGGAAAAGGGCACACTGCGAAGCAGAAACAAAGAAACACTCTAGTACGAGTTCACAAAGAATGCTTTTTCAGTCTTATCTTATTAAGCTGTGTTCAGCCAGCGGGCACCTCCCCCTGTATTTGTGTTCACCTCTACAATTAGAAAGTTTAAATACTATCCTTAGAGGGGAACAAAACTTTCTGTTCTTGTACCATCACACAACATTCAACAGACATTTGTATTATTAAGTGCAAAATACACTTTAGGACAGAGAGATGCATGCAAAGAAGCATAAGAAAAATCTTTCAGTACACATTATCCTTTAAACATTTGATACTTCTTCTTTCTCTGCAGCACTTGCAAGTTTAGATTCACTTCATCTTTAGATGTAATGTGAAGCAGTGTGTATAATTTATTTTTTTACTTGCCCTAACCTTAGAGCAGAATAATGGACAGCAAGCATTATCAGCACATTGGCAGCATTCGTAAAAGCTAAATTATAAAGTCAAAACTGAAAAAAATATATATTTTAATGACTCCACATATCACAATTGATGGATTAGTTCCAACACAGTTTGTTCAATAGCCATTGTGTTGTCTTCAGTAATATTGTTTTAAAATCATTTTAAAGAATAAACATTTGATTTCCTGCAAATACTAAACAGATTGCTTGTAAATTGATCTTTTAAACAGTTATTTGGAATAGAGATAGAGATAGATTTCTGTCCCAACAACTTGAAATCGATCAGTTCTATGTAAAAGTTTTATTCAATCAAAAATTACTTAATTAAATTAATTAATTAAAAACTTAATTAAAGCCACAAGATGGACAGTCCTAACAGCTCAGCTCTACTCAACCTATCACTAACCGCGGGAGCCAAGCACCGTCGCCTTATTGCTTCTTCTCTGCCAGCTTACAAGTTCCACACTTAACCACTAGACAAGCAGGGGACAAGCACAGCTTTGGTTAGGAAGGGTTAAACTACAGCTAAAAGACAATATCTGGCACAAATCTTATCTCTTCACAGAGGCTCATGGCCATTTCCTGATCTCAGTTGGCTGGACTCAAGTAGGCATGCCCAAAGTCGGTCCTCATAAGCCGCTGTCCTGCAGATTTTAGAGCTCTCCCTGCTCCAGCACAGTTTATTTACATTGATACAGTGGCTTTTAAAACCCTTCATCCCAATTGCTCCCCAATGGGATGGGTTAAATACAGAGATATATTTCTCTTATGTGAGATCTATAAAGTTGAATTATATGTCTTGACATATATAAATATATACATATGTCAAGACATATCATGTCACACATATATATTTATGTTTTTGAAACGGGGTCGTTAAAGAGACTACTACAGTGTCTTGTCCAGAGGTACATGAACACCTTATGGACAAAGGACGTTCTTTCGAGGACCAAAATGTTCACATTTTGAACAAGGAAAATAGGTGGTTTGAGAGGGACATGAAGGAAGCATCTATGTTAAGAAAGAAAAACCAACCTTAAACAGAGGGGGTGGACTCAGATTTCAGCTTTGAAAAATCTACAAGGTAGCAATTGAGTTAATCCCTTCGCGCTATCACCACAAGCCCAACCCCTATACAAGGGACTAGAAGATATTGCCTAGTAAGCCAGGCCAACAATTACCTTTAAGAACCCCCTTTCAGGGACATAGACATGTATGGTGCATTGCAGGCTAACAAAAGAAGCCAAACGTCCCCCATTCCAAAGGGGTGGGCTCATTTGTGTGTTCAATTTGCAGGTTTTCTAAAAGCTTTCTTGGGCTACTGTATAAGAGCCTCGAACTCAACACTGTTTCTGACATTTGAATTGAAAATGCTTCCTGGATGGAACGCGAAACGTCTTTAAACTTGGAAACAAAGTCCAGCGGATTGTTTTCCAACTTTTTTAAGAATGACCTGGATGACTGAGAATCTTCACCAGTCTAACAAAATAGTTCTTAGTAGTGACCCAGAGATTGCTGATGTCCAGCTTAAGGCAAATCAGGTCTACATGTAAGTGGTCTATAAAGCATACCTTTAAATTGAATATTTTTTTTTTATTTTGATATTTATTTGTTTTACAGAATTTCTTTAAAAGAAAAAACAAAACAAACAAACAAAACAATAAAAAACTACATAATTAAGACTATAAAGCAGATGTTTAGATGAGACAAAGAAAATTGTCTCATTTAAAAATGTTCCTATAATGATTTCATTTATCAAAAAAGAAGCCATTCAAATATATTTTGTGTTTTGTTTAAAGATAATTCCTCACATAAACCAATACGTAGGTTTGCCACCATTGTTTGCACTTAAATGCTGTAACAGGATTGAAGTATTAACTTTTCCATTTAGTTCAGAATAATTAAAAGGTGAATTTATTGGTGTGTTTTGGGTTATTTTTCTACTGTATAACAGCAACTGATAGGCAAATGTTGCAACAGAGCTCGTCCTGTGTAGACTAACAAATAAATTAGTGGGACTAATTGCTTGAGCAGACTGCCCTGTTTAGAACATAAGGCCAAAATAAACTTTGCTGTTATATCTAATTAAATTAAGTGCCCTGCAGAAAGACTACATCCTTTATGTTTATTTTGAAGCTCCACTTCCTCTTGAACTGTCTGAAACTGGTAAAAGCTATGCTGATGTAGACTCTGTCTCCCAGTTCTTACTTCTTATTCTTTGGGCAAAGATTAAGGATGGTCCTCCTTTTAAAAAGGGAAATTACAAGTATAATAATCTATTTTTTTATTTGCTCCTTCTCCAACGACAACACATTTTTATATATAGTCAGGCTGGTTTGGATATCTTCCACCTATATCATCTAAGTACTTTTTTTATTTAAAAAAGCTTTTTATTGATTATTGTTTATATTTCTCAAAAATGTTGGTATTGTTAATACATTTAAATGTAATTAAAAGAAATGGCAACACACTATAAATAAATCAACTAGTGCATTGCCAAACCATTTTGAGCTGAATTTTCAGAGGCAATAACGAGAACCTGAATGCCCCTGAATAGTCAGGTTATGTTTACTACACTAATCAATGCTGGTAGAGTGTCTGAATAGTGTGGCATGAAAGGAGGCCATTTTCTCAACGGGTCATTGCTAGGACATTTCCATGGAAATGTTGAGGACATCATTGGTAGACCTGTAAAAAGGCTATTTACACAATAAAGGAAAATGAGATAGCATTACCTATTACTTTATTTACTTTGTGTCCCAGGTATTTGTTTAAAATAGTTAGTGTTTATCTCTTTTAGCTTAAAAAATAATAAAGTTAATAGCTTTGACGGCAACCTAATGAAAAAAACCAGATGTTAGTTAAAGATATTTTTTTACAAAAAAATTAACTGTTACTACAAATTTTTTTTATATATATTTATGATTATTAAAACCCACTATCCACTACAACACTTAATCCCCTTGACATGATTATTTTTGTCATTTCTTGAAGGGGTCTTCTGGATTAGTTTACCAGCATTTAAACATTTAGTCCAAAACTTTCTCTTGTTTTTATCACTTTTAAGATAATTCACACTGTTTCAGTTATTTAAAATCAGGCCCAACTTGATAATGTGAAAAACTAAACCTGAGTGCTAAATATTATGAATTAGGCTTGCCATGTTAAAATCAGATATTCCTGAAAAAATGCCACAAATCCTCTTAATTTATGAGAGGTGCTGATATTTCCCAAGGTGTACCGGTAAGCTGTTTGTCTGGCTATTCTTCTGTATGGGCAGCTTTCACTCTTTCACTATGTATAAGAGAGATTTCAGGGTTCAGACTTGCCATGCGCACTAACTGAGGTGTTTATCTACCAGAAATAAATGATCTGTGACTCCTTAAAAAAACACCTTAGATATTACAGTTTAATAACACCTGAAGCATCATGTTGAAGCTTCTTACTGACTTAGGTCGATCCCATACAAGGTCCAAAGGCTTAAAAAAAACATCAAGATTAAAGTAGATAGGAATAAGCAAGGACAAATGAAAAAGTTTTAAACATGTTTTAAAGTAGCTCAGCATCGGAGCGGTTTTACAGTGTACAGGAAGCTTATTTTAGACCTTTAAAGCATAAAAACCAAAACATGCTTCCCAGGACTTTGTTTTAAGTCCCGGAAAAGTCAGTATCTTTGATACCAAAGATGTTTTAGGTCTTAGCTGATAAACCTGAAACATGTATCAGAAGAAACTTCTGCTGTTTCCGGTTGACTTTTAATTTCAAACCCCAATGAAAAAGCAATTTCAACTCCACTTAACTATTCCACAGTTTTTGGGTAACATACGCAGTGAGCAGGCCAACTGCTATTAGTTATGCATGCTTAGTTCTCTGTATTTCTTTTTATTTATTTTTTTCAAAGATGTTCAAAAAATCAGGTAGCACCAAGCTATTGATGAAGAAGAAGCAAATAGAAGTGTAAATAAACATATTTTCCAAAGGCCATTACCATGTCTTTTTATACAGCCTATATGGTTATATTAGATTTCCCTCTTGGGGGCCCTTTTTAAACGTCAAAATAAGATAAATTAATGAGTAAAAGGATTTATTTTTCCTCTTCTTTTTGCTACATTACACAACAAACTTTAAAAGGTCAAAATCCTGCATTGCTCCTTTTTTTAAATAGACTTGGAGATTTTTACTGGTTGGGAAACTTTAATGTGGTGGTTTTTCTGTGCAAATATAGTTTGTAATGAACAAGAATGACAACCCATATATAAGTAAAAAAAAAAGATTGTCATCTTCTTTACTTTGCATGCCAGTTGACAAGTAAACATATTTAACCTGTAAAAGTCCAAAAAGTGATCAAGAATTTTGTAAATGGCGTATACTACTGAGCTTTTATCTGGCTTGTTTGTCGGGAGACAGTGGTGTGAATTGTTTTTCTGGCGCTCAGAACAAATGATGTTTTATACTAGATGAGCAGAACTAAAGATTAAATGTTAGTTGGCCTTAAGCAAACTTCAGTTTGCAGACCACTGGCCCATCGACAGAAAGACGCCTTTGTGAGCTGGAGGCTGTGACGTCAAATGGGCTCCATAAAGACATAAATTCATAGTTTAATCTGGAACAACACAAAGATGGGAGGATGAGTCTTGATGTCCTCCTCCAGTCCTTATCGTGCATAACTAATTAGGCTTATTCCCAGGATAAATAAAGCAGGACTAAAAGTCTGCTGTCAGATTTTCAACAGCTGGCCTGCCAAGCAAGGAGGTGTTAACGTAAAGGGATTAAACCATTATTTTCTTTGTTTCACAATCACAAAATGCTGGAGATGCTTGAATACAGCCACTATCAGGTAAGATTTTATGTACCTTTTTTATGATAATGTTAGGAAATATTAAAAAATGCAAATAAAATAAACTTAAAAGATGATGCTTATGCATTGGTACACACACTCTGAAATGATTTCTAACATTTAATGGAAAAGTTTACGTTGTAGTTTCTATACAGCTGCTGCGGGGTGAAGCAGCCTTTTTTGTGGTCAGAGATCATGTGATTGAACCTAAAGGCTTTGCAAGAGTATTTGTGTAAAGACAAACTTTTGGTTCATCTTTTTCTGAAATAACTGTCCCTTAAGTTTCCTAGGAATTATAATGGGGTTTCTCTAATTGGTATATACCAGTAATAAAGAATCCTAAAGAAGAATTTATAAATACATTGACATTTATAACATTTGATTACCAAATTATCATCCACATCTAAAACAAACTTAACATTTAAGAAAAAAAAAGCAAGCCAAATGTTTATATATCAATACTCTTGGTAGGTACAGTCCCACCTGGAAAGTCCGACCAAGTACCACATCCAGCCGTCTCAGAGAGGGCAAGTGAGACAGTATCTTTCTTCCAGTCTAAGTGGGAAAGCTGGAAGCCAGTGTCCCAGCCTGCCCCCCGAGCACAGCATGCCACCCGGGCCTGCTGGCAGCGCACCCAACAGTCCCATGGCCCTTCTAACACTCGGTGCCAACTGTGAAAAAGAAGTACGACTGATTGTCCCTAAAGATGATCCCTTTTCATTCCAATTAAGGAAGCTTTTACTTATATATTTTCTCACTCCAACAGATGGATGATGTCATTGATGATATTATAAGCTTAGAGTCAAGTTACAATGAGGATGTGCTTGGACTGATGGACCCAGCTTTTCAAATCAACAATCCGGTATTACTTTTACCTTACTTTTTTAGTTTTTTTGATTTTTTTCAAGAAAAAACTAATGCAACATCTGTGACCTCCAGCTCCCTGTGTCTGGTAATATACTTGATGTGTACAACAACCAGGGCCTTCCTCTCCCTGGCATCCCCATGGGCAACTCATGTGCACCGAACATCAAAAGGGAATTCACAGGTAAGAAGGAACCCCATACAAACTTCATTAGTACCATGCTTTGAACAAGGACACCCGAGTGCATGTTCTCCCGATTGTTTCCTTTCACCTTGTGATTTAAGATAGCCACAGAGAAGCTACATACATATAAAGAAGTAAAATCACTTTTACCATAGGAAAGAATAATATGAAATGATTACTGTGGACTTAAGTGAACATTGTGTGCAATTTGGAAGAGCACAAAATACTGTTAAGTCAATGCTTTGCCAAATAATTACTCCAGCTCCTGGCATGAAGCAAGTACTGGACAAGCCGGGATCCTGTGGCCAGTTTGAAAGCTATCAAAGGCCAGACGGCTTTCCAGTAGGTAAGCGAATCAAGAATAAAATGTTTTCCCATCAGATCATGTATTTTGTGTACGACTAAATCGCACACAATAAAAAAAATTGTATTTACCTGCAAAAACTTGAAAGCTAAACTCTGTTTTTTTTCCCCCCTGTTAATCAATGTGGATAAACATATGTTGAAAGTAATTAAGAAATAAATAAAAAGTTGACAAAACCCCTTTGTTTTTATCCCACAGAGGCTGAAGTACGAGCCCTTGCTAAAGAAAGACAAAAGAAGGACAATCACAACCTGAGTAAGTCCATTCTAATAACCTGAAAGGGGATTTATATGTGTTTTATCATATTTCTGTCCATAATGAGGAGATGGTAAAATGGTTTAAGATACATTTTTTGCTGAACAATGTCTTTGTATGATCATTCATTTGGTCAAATTTTAGTTGAGCGAAGACGGAGGTTCAACATCAACGACCGCATAAAGGAGCTGGGAACCTTGATACCGAAGTCAAATGATCCGTAAGTATTTTTTCTGCGTTTGGAATGAGAGTTCAGTAATAGTATTCATATTCTACATTATTTTATTTGTATGAAGCTTTTAATTGGGATTCAATGTTACAGACCAACATGAAGTTGTGCATAATAAAGAAACTAAAGGAAAAGCAAATACTTTACAGCCATTTTTTAATTGAAAAAAACCCTAAAGATTTGGGCATGAATTTTATTGTTCTCCTTTGACTCTTATATTCCTAAATTATATTAACTGCAACCAACCGCCCTAAAAGCACAACAAGGTTTAAACCAAGTTATAAAACCTCAGAGGCTGTTTAACAAGAAAACAAGTAGTTAGCGAGATAAAAAAACATTTGAAGTCTGTTTCCCCAAAAGCCATGTAGGGGGCAGAGGAAGCATGTGGGAGGAGGGGCTCTGATCAGATAAGACTAAAACTGTATTTACTGTGTACGTGCAAAATGCTTCACTTTGTAAGGGCTCTTTCTCTCCTGCAGTATTAGACGCTGTAAAAATTAAGTCATAACTAAAATTGAAATATTTAGTTCAATGCATATTCATGTTTTGGAGTTGTTCTACTCTATTCTATAGATTTATAATGTACACTTGCTGTCTTTGTCCAACCAAACTGAGCTTTAGATTTTTGGAAAGGAGAATGTGCAAAAAGTTCAGTAATTTTTTTTTTGAACCCTCATAAGAGGTACACTTATTAAAACCAAAGAAGGTTCCACTTTTTCTGATTAGTGACTCGAGGAATGATCAGACGCGCAAGCCACAAAATTGCACTTATCAGTTTAATTCATTTTTTAAAACAGTGTAAACCCGTTTAACCCTTTTGTAAAGCCTTTTCAAAATCCTGGCCTGACATTTTTTTAATAATTTGGTAAAGACGTTGTGTACCTCGACTGATTATGAAGCAAAATGCTCAAATAAATGAAAATGATCGTTTTTTTTCATCTAAAATATTGTATGAAAGATGTTTTTCACTAAATTTTAAGGTCATGTTTGGTTACTAAATCATTAGTTCTTTCTTCTCATGTTCACATATTTTAATGTGCCAAAGTAACTTTTAGAAAAACTTAGCATTACTTAATTGAAAGCAAACTCCACGTGCCCTGACATTTATCCATCTGCCTGTGGAGTTTTTCTAAAGTGGATTTGTTTGTAACCTTCTCCTCTTCATTTGTACTCTTAAAGTGCATGACTTATTGACCCAGATGATCCATGAAGAATCCTGTGTTGTTCTGGTCAGCTGGTCAGCTGTGTCTCACTGTAGATCTTTGTCTCATGCATACCCCAGAGACATGCGCTGGAATAAGGGCACCATTCTGAAAGCCTCTGTGGACTACATCAGGAAGCTACAGCGGGAGCAGGAGAGAGCCAAGGAGCTCGAATGCAGACAGAGGAAACTGGAGCATGCTAACCGCCATCTGATGCTTCGTATACAGGTGTGTCCCTAGTGGTTGGATTCCGGTGAAGTCGGCCTTGTGAATGTTGCTGGTGTGACTGTTGCCGACAACAGGCAAATATCACTTAAAGGATGATTTTAAACTCAATTGATAATCAACAAAACCAAACAGATTAATTCATCAATCGTAACCCAGCTCAGGATTTTATATTTAGGCACATAATTAATCATTTTAAGGGGTTTCCCCTATTTTTAATGCCATAAATAAATAATAAACACATACTACTGTAGGTGCCGCTCACAACTGTAATAATAGATCTAAGAATACCTGCGTTATACTTTTGTGAAAACCCTCTTTCATCTACAACATGATAAAGATTTTCTATTTGCTCTAGAAACATATCAGAGATGTCATCTCATTTATATATCATATTGTTTATTGAAAAAAAACCCTAAAGATTTGGGCATGAATTTCATTGTTTTCCTTTGACTCTTATATGCCTAAATGATATTAACTGCAACCAACTGCCCTAGAAGCTCATTCTCATTTATATATCAGACAAAATCAGTATTCTTAAGTCTTTAAAATGCTTTATAAATTGAAATTTTGATTTGGTAATTTTTTTGTATTTATTTTTTTTTACAAAGAGAATACTGCTCTGGTATTAGTAGTTTTAGCAACTGTGTACACTTTACAAGCACATATGCTTCTATACTATGATATTCTACGTGTATGCCTTTTTTGGCACCTTTGGACCAGCGAAATTGCCATGGTGGCCTGCATTCATCATGCAGGCCTTGAGTTTGACACATATGATTAACATCTTTTCAAAATATTTAAAGTCAGTGAGTGATCAAACTGTCTGTAAAAAACCGCCAGAATTGTCTTTTGGTTATTTGATTGGTCAAATGTTTGATGTTACCAATATTTACCTGTAATGGCAGCAAAATTTAGAAGAACTTATGGTTGGACAGTAGGAAGCAGTTTATGGAGCAACACAGAGATCTAACAGACACACAGGGATCAATGCAGTGTCGGGGATGTCTGGTAGTGCAAAATGAGAGAACAAATTTGTTATGATAGTTTTAAGTAAATGGTAAATGGCATGAACTTATATAGCGCCTTTATTCAAGTCAGCAGACCTGACCAAAGTGCTTTACACTACATTCATTTACCCATTCACACACACACTCACGGTGGCAAGCTACATTGTAGCCACAGCTGCCCTGGGGCTCACTGACAGAAGCGGGGCTGCCGTACACGGGCCCTCTGACCACCATCAGTAGACAATGCAGGTGAAGTGTCTTGCCCAAGGACACAACGACACTGAAAGTCGGAGTCGGGGCTTGAACCGTCAACCCTTCAATTTCAGGGCAAACACCTACATCCAACGCCACTGTCGCCAAGGTCTTGAGTCTGGTTCTGCTGGAGGTTTCTTCTTGTTAAAAGGGAGCTTTTGCCTCTCTAAGGTCACTTCATACACGCTCAGCGTTAGGAATTGCTGCAAAACCAGCAACACAATGTAAGCAACTGTCCACAGTTGCTACATGCTTCTGTGGGATGAGCAAATTTTGCTGAGCATACTGTATGTGTTAAAAGTTGATTATCCTTTCTGTTTCTGTGAATTCATACATTTATATAAATTAGCTTGGAATTTACTGAAGTTGGTTGATACTTCATGTCCTGTTGTAAAGTCTTGGTCTCTTTTGATGTTGATACTTTTCTTTAAATGGATCCAGGCCGAAATGACAGACATTGGTTTGTCGCTAACATGTCTTCTAAATAAAATTCTAAGTCTGCCATGACCAGCAATGTTGGTTGATTTTTAAATCTTAGATAGTGGATCCATATCTTTATTTGACTATCTTAATACACTGAACACTAAAGGTTTGGCTAATCATTGGGCAGGAACTGTACCTTTCCTGTCACCCAATAAAAGCAGGTGATAGGCAGCAGCCTCCATGTGACCCTGATTAGAAGAGAATTAGCAGGTAGAGATAACGAATGGAGAGGTTAAGGTATTTCTTTTTGTTAATCTAGAAATATATGCAACTGATTAATGTACAACTTTATTTTTTATTTTTTGCCTAGGAGTTGGAAATCCAAGCCCGGGCTCATGGCCTCACAGTGGTATCATCCCCCTCAGTCTGCACCTCAGAGCTTATGGCACGAGCCATCAAACAGGAGCCCATTCTTGGGGACTGTCCATCTGACGTCTACCAGCATAACTGCACGCCTGAAATGTCTCCACCAACTACGCTGGACCTCAACAATGGCACCATTACCTTTGACCACATCCCTGCAGATGCTGGGGACTCCTACGGAAACTCTAGGACCTGCAAAATGAAAGAGCTGGTTAGGGACAACAGCCTGGGGCCAGTTTCCCCAAGTGACCCCCTCCTGTCCTCCATGTCCCCAGACGTTTCTCACAATGTCAGCAGCCGCCACAGTTCTAGCTCTAGTATGGACGAGAAAGATCATGGATGTTAGCCCTATGTCATAAGTGTTTTTTTATGCATAAAGGAACTCTCTGATAAATTTCATGTTAAAAGAGTTTTTACATAAAGTCTTTTTATTTTCATTCATTGATGTAATTATATTACTGTGAGCCAAGACTCTTAAGACGCTCTCTCTGGTGTTTTTACTTTCTCATTTAATTTTTATAAACTGTTTAGAAAATACTTGACAAACGTGTAACAGGAAATCGGCATAATTTTGAAGTTTTCCTTGTTATTTAATATTTGCATTTATGAGCTGTTTTACTGTTGATTTTAAGACAGCTACCATGCTTTATACATAAAAGTGCATAATATAAGAGTCATGTTGTTGAAATAGCAGGATAAGGCTTGTATGTGTGTTTGTACATGTGGAATGTGTAAACTCCTTATTTGCCTGATCTTCTGCAAATTATCAGACAATCCGATCAAACAAAGAGCCTAGTAAAAGGTTTTTATGTGACATTTATTTAGGCTAATTTTTCTTTATTCCCCCCAGATACCACTTGTCTATATTTGGTCATATTTAGATGATTTGCAATAAATTGTGCCATTGCATCTTATCATTTTGAAATTATAAATAATTTAACATAAATACGTGTAAACAATCTTAATAAATCAGTTATCCATACGGCCTTTTAAAGTAGAGGTGCTGGCAGCAGTTAATTTCAATTACTCTTAACATAAGCTGCAAGAAAAATGATCCCACAGTGGCTTCGGTACCTTTTAAAATGTAAGCTGCACATGCACACTACAGAATGAACATAACTGACACTAATATTTGTGCAATGACCCAAAAATGACATCACTTAATCTCATGCAGCACTTTGGAAGGTCTTTACTCCCCTCAGCAAGTTTGATGCTTGAGCAGATGATACATGGCTATGTTGTTTAATAAATAGACTAATAATAATTAGACATTTTGGGGAACTCATAAAGCATGGACTCTTTATTTGCAGGTGGATGGTTAAATATTGGTCATAAATTAAGAAATAAAATGAGGTAACTCAGAGAAGGATGTGCTCATGGCAGAGCACTGATGTTCTATAGGCTACCTACCTTTGATCCAGGGATGCATGAACTCACAACATTCCCCCAGATTAATAGGCTTAGTCTACACAAAGATGATCATCATATCCTATTATGAATGACTTAGAAATAAAATACAAATGGAAAAACTGAAAACGCTGCGGTACATGTGCCGGACCCTTTGGTGGCGCTGTAACACTCACAGAAACACACAAAAAAAAAAACACTGAGGAAAACAACAGGCATGAACATGGCCCAGGCAGCTCATGTGAGCTGGTAAATACAGCACCATGGTTGTATACCGGTTAGAGAGAGCCATCTTTGAAAAAAAGACAGATTGCACGTACACACTGAAACATAAAGACCTGGATTTTGCAGTTCACCTGCTCTCAGATCCAGTTTTTAAAAATGTGTAGTTTTTTTTTCTCCATTTGAATGCACAGCTGTAATTTACACATGTCTTTGGGAGTGAATAATCTTATCTCTGTGTGGATGGAGTCTTAAACTCAGTGTAAATTCAACCTATTAGCATAGGCAGAGGTGGGAGATATGATGCTACAAGTCACCTTTATGTCATGTATTTGTTCTGCCCCTGCCACTGAACCAGGTGAGTCCAATCTGCACGAGCAATTAAATTGTGCAGATTGGATTTACCTGGTTCAGCAGCTAGACAAACCCAATACATTGCATGGAAATGACTTAATGAATCCACATCTCTGAATAAAGGGCCTTAAAAGTTTGTCAGAAAAGTTAGATACTTAAAAAAAAAAAAAAAAAAACACAACTAATACCAAAAAATAAAGCAGATAAATTGAGGATGGATTTGTAGGAGGGTCAGGCTGTTAAGCTACATCATAGGCTTTAGACATGTCAGCAATGATCTGAAAATGTCAGTATTATTGCCAACACACTAAGGTATACAGATATGCACCAGGAAAATGTTCACTGAAGTTTTTAAAGTAGTTATGTTACAGCCTTATTACAAATGGTATTATATTAACATATTTCGCTCAAATTATTTATTATATAAAAAAAAGTTTTTTTTTTTATATTACTGCAAACACAGCATTTACCATGAGGCTACATATTGAATTATGATGCTTACTCTTTTCAATGACTACCCTTGAAATGTTTCTATAGCCTAAATTGACTCCATCAGTGGTGAATACAGTTGATTGGAAATAAATACGAAAGACACACACCTGTCTAAGGTCTCAAAGCATATGTCCTAGTGCAAACACCAAGCAAAAGTTCCAGAAATTGTCTATAGAAAATCTTTTTCCAAAGACAGGATTCTTTTGAGGCACAAATCTGGGGAATGATACTGAAATAATGCTCAGTGTAACCACCATTGATAAATGGAAGACGTTTGGAGCCAGCAAGTATCCTATAAGAGCTGGCAAAACGGAGCGATATGGGAAAAGGGTTTTAGACGAGAATCCAGCACCAGCATTCCTCTGTGGAGAGAATATAACCTTACAGAATTACAACCATCTCTGCAGCAATCCCCCAATTAGGCCTAAATGGTAAAATGACCGGATGAAAGCCTTTCCTTAATGAGTCTCAGATCATGTGAAACAGAATTCTCTGGTCTGCTGAGATAAAGACATAAACTCTTTGGTGTGAATGCCAGGTATGATGTCATTCAAACAGTTAAGCATGATAGTGGTAGCATCATTCAATAGGGTTGAATTTTAGCAGCAGGAATGGCAGACTCTCAGGATACCTCTCTGGCAGCGACATCCTAGGAGAAGGTCTCCTCCAGGGTGCTCCATATTGGTGTGAGATGACCCAAAGCACACAGTCAAGTTCTCAAAGGAAGAAAAATTATCCCATAGTGTCGCCAAAGCCAAAGTCCAGTTCTAAATCCAGTCAAAAACCTTTACCACAGATAGCAACGATGGCACGTGGATAGACAACCTGGTTCGAGTCTTGAACTAAAGATCTTTAATCTATGTCTCCTCCTCTCACTCAACCCAGTCTCTTGTCAGACCACTTTCAAATTAAAGGCCAGTAGGGCTGTACAAAAAGGAAAAAATTATAAAAGTGTTGACTCTGTGGGGCTTTTATTTGTAAAGCAGAGTTTTTGGATTATTCCTAATATGTTTCGCAATTGGTTACCTAACTCTAGCCAGAGTTTTTTCACCCGAAAACACAATAACAGAAGTTCGATGAATCAATTATGACAGCAAGAAAAGCCCTGCAGGTAAACATAGACTTAGTCCAGTTAGATCACATTTTTTAACTCAGATTGTGAGAATGATAAGATAAACTGTATTTGCATCAGCCTACTAGTTTGAGAACATTTGTGGAAATAAACAGCAGGTGGTGCCAACTCTCCAGAGAGAATTACAGAGCAGTTTGAGATTACACAGCCCTGTGATTATGCCCCAGGAGAAAAAAAGGCTTTCCTATTAAGAATTTTACATCGTCTATCAGAATGAGTCGGTGGAACTGTATTATTTATAAGAATATAATTTTCAAGGGCTAAGAGAATGTAACAAAAAAAGACAGCTGAAGATGGTCACTGAGTTCTAGATCACCTCTCTGACCCTCTGTTTTTGTAAATCTAGATTTATTTTATTTTTTTTACATACACCATTTTTAGCCTCTGAATGTATGTACACTTTAATTATGAGTCCTACAAAATGGAACTGATCTGAAAAGTTTATGGATCCATTCAGCCTCCATAATTTTCTCAGGAAGATAGAATCCCAAACAGTCTGTGTCCTGTTGTACGTGGGGCAGGTGGATCTGGCCACCCCCAGAGGAACTTGGCAGCATTGGATAGGTCACACTACATTTCTGCAATACTTCCTCACTTTATGCAATTATTTTTGCTGTCTTCACTCCAACATACAATGGCTATATATTGCTACCCAACTTGCACAACATATTTCATCACATTATCACAAAAGACAAACTTCTTGGTATTAAAAAAAAGTATTTATTGTTGTATGAAAGTATACTTGACATCAGGAAAAAGCATTTAAACACAGCAAATTTTAAGCAAATTATCTTGTTTCTGCGCATACACCATCATTAAAAAAAAAATCAACTCAATGTACTATTTAAAGAGAACGGCTTCTATGATTGATGGAATGGAGCTCAGTCTAAGCCATTCAATAGAAATACTGTCAATGTAAATAAAGCAGAACCCTTCGCCTTTGGTGGCTGTGATACGAAAGACATACTTTCTAAACTTGCTGTTTAACTATAACACCTTTCTACCCATCCATGTGAACCATGCAGCAGCAGAGTAAAGTATATTAGATTTACATCTCAAAATGAAAGTACATTTTTTTGAAACTGCCCGCAGGCAGATGCAGGATGTGTAAATCAAACATCACAGGTGCTGTCAGAAGAGACACTCAGCTCCTCGCACCACTTGATGTAAGCTCTGTGCAGGGTATCAAATGAAGTGTTGTTAAAGATTTCTGCAAAGCGAAACAAAAGGACAAACGATAATTCACAACATTAAACCAAAGGCAACTCTTAAAAATAGTTTGGGCCGATATTTGAATTCTTACCTGCTTGCCCTAAACCGACTGGTAGTGGCATTCTGACCAGGCCACCAGAATGCTTAAGCCTGTCCTGCAGAGATTTCTGAATCAGCTCCATAGTGAACTCCTCATTCCAGACAGGAAGCTCAAGGCCAACCATGCAGCTGATGATCCTCTGCTTCTCTTCTTCTGTTAAAAGGCCACTCTCACAGGACACGTATACCATATAAGACATGTCAATGTTCACTGCTTCACCATGAAGTAAGGATGGAAGAACTTTCTGAAATAAAGATATAAATATGACATCATATGTAAAGGAGTTGTTTTTGAAAAAAGATTAATTATACCAAGCAACTGACATTTTGCATTTGTGAAAATACTGAAATTTGTCTTTCAAGGCCCACAGAGAGTGTTTTGTTTTCGTACTGCTGAGCTGTTCAGTGACATTTACAGAAAGACAAGTACTGCTTCCATCAACCTGTAAAGTTTCACTAAGTGGTTCTATTTAACGTAGTACGATCCAGTTTTGTTATTCAAGTAATCAAATTATATAGGATTTTGACCCACACCAGCATTATTTTAGAAACAAAAAAAAAAACAAATAAAAGAAATAGTCAGATCTATTCATACTGAATCAAATGATACTACGACTAAGTGTCATCATTTCTGGATATTTTTTCATGAATTAAAGATTTTTTTTTTGTAAAACAGAAAGGTTTTTAATACTTTTCAATGTTCTACCTTAAATCGCTGACCAGGCAGCTTTGCTTGCTATGTGTGAGTATAGAAAATAACATTTTCTTATTTCTAAATTATGTCTCTACTTTAAAATAAGATCTATTACGTCTTAAAAACAAATAAAGGCATCTACAATCCTACAATAAAACCTTATATATAATTTAACTACATTTATTTGACATATAGGCTTATTTTTAGA